ATCTGTAATGAGATCTGGTGCCCTCTTCTGGCCTGGGTACATGCAGACACTGTATATATAATAAATAAATAAATCTTAAAAAAATAAAATAAAAAAAATAAAAAAGTAAATCTTTTTTTAAAAGAAAAATATATAATATTTTGGTAAAGTATTTTGGGAGATAGCCAATGGTCACATTGCCACATATATCATAGAAGCTGTAAGAAAACGTGCTCACGGGCTGGAGAGATGGCTCAGAGGTTAAGAGTGCTGACTGCTCTTCCAGAGGTCCTGAGTTCAATTCCCAGCAACCATATGGTGGCTCACAACCATCATCCCTAATGAGGTGCCCTCTTCTGGTGTGCAGATATACATGGAAGCAGAATGTTGTATAAATAAATAAAATCTTAAAAAAAAAGAAAACGTGCCCGCTCCACCAGCACACATGGGAAAACTGGGATGTACAAAGAAACGATGACAGAGATACTGGTGAAGTGTTCCATCAACACTAAACAAAACTAAGAAAGAAATAAAAGGTGTTAGACACCGAGAAGTGTTGGGGGTTCCTCACTTCAAAAGATGATCTGAAAAATCTCCTTTTTAGTGAACCTATGCCGGTTCTATTTGTTAACTTGATACAAGTTAAGAGTCATCTGGAAGAGGGAATTTCAACTGAGAAAATGCCTCCATCAGATCGGCCCGTAGGCAAGCTCACTGGGGGCATCCTTTTGATTAACGTTTGCTGTGGGAGGGCCCAGAACTCTGGGGCGGGTTCCTGGGTCCAGAGCCCCGTGCCCATCCCTGGCACACAGGCCTGGGTGGATGCTCGTCCACTTCTGCTTTTCTCCAGCTCTGAGGCCTAGGCCTGGGGTGCCACTGCGGTCGCCGGCTTGCACACGCCCGGGCTCTGGACGCCTCTTGCTTCTTGCACTGCACTCCGGGGAGGCTGGAGTTTAATCACACAAACAGTGTCCGGCTTCCTGTCCTCGTCTGCCCCCCTCCGGCCCGCTTCCCTGGCCCCTCCCTCTCCCCTGGCCCGCCCAGCCCACCAGCTCC